GCCTTATATAAAGCCTCTAAAGAAGCTATATATATTTTTTCTATTTTTTTAGAAATATCTAAAGGCTTAGGTTTAAATAAACCTAAAATACCTACTTTATTAATAGATAATAAAGGAGCTAGGAAAATAACTAAAAATCCTAAATTCTATAAAAGGGTTAAGTATATAGATAGGTAATTCTATTATTACCGAAATCTATTAAAAGATAAGAAAATATAGCTTTTTTATATATATACTTAATATAATATAATAGATATACTTATTAAGGGCTTAAATAAGATAACTTATAATACCCTATATAGATATATATAAATAGGGAGTCTAAATACTATACCTATAGACTATAAATAGCCTAAATATAGTAAAATACTTAAAATTAAGTATTAAATAGGTTTTTTATCTTTGGATTTTCCTATTATAATAAGATAGGTTTTTTATCTTTAGATTTTCCTATAATAATATAATATATAGTTTTTATTTATTTTCTATACTATAGGGTTTTAATTTTTTCCCTATATATAATAATAATATAAGGTTTTTTTTTTTATCCTCTAAATATATAAGCTATTATATCTATATACCTATATATATACTACCTTATAGGGGGGTATAAGAGTTATAAGGATTAGAGTCTTATAACTACTCTAATAGCTTAAATAAAAGCTAAACTATAATAATATATATATTATAAAATAGAGAAAAATCGTAGCTATAGAATAGTATAATTTTTATAATATTCTATAGAGCCGTTCTATAATAATAAGCGTTTAAGTTCTTTTATACCCTATTAGCTAGAGTTTAAATCTAACTCTATTTCCCCTATAGGTCTAGAGGTAATCTAAGCGCTTTATCTATATATAGCTATTAAGGGTTAATCTATTATATATAGAGGGTACTCCTTAGACCTATTTTTTAGGTTTTTAGAAAAAAATAATAATCTAATTCTAATTATACTTATAAGTCCCCTTTATATAATAATTCTTATCTAATTTATATATTCTTAATTATTAAGAATAGATACTTTCTAAGATATACCTTACTCTTATTAGGATTAATTTAAGTATTTCTCTTAATTAATTATAACCTTCTTCTTAATTACCTCTCTACCTTTTTACCTTCGATCTAAACGAAAAATATACTATTTTATAGCTCTCATTAAAGGCTATAAGAATCTTTAATCTATTTCTCGACCCGATATCTCCTTCTAGAGATATAATTACTTTTATCTCTCTTTTCCTCTTATCTATTATTATCTCTTTATTCTATAACTAAGCTATACCCTCGGTTATTACCTATTACCTCCTATATCGATATCGATTTAAACTAATAAATACCTATCTTATAGAAGGTATAAAGTGAAATAAGGTAATAAAGGGGGGGGTATAAAGGAGGGGAAATTAGGAAAGATAGAAGTCACGAAAATTGCAGATTTTATACCTTCCCTATTTATAGGGATTATTATAGGGGCCTATATACCTAACTAGGGTGCGAAACTTTCCGCAGGCACCAAGTACAGTTCCGACGAAGCCGACAGCTCCGAGCGCCAACCAATCGCCCCAATACCAACGCAATCACTTGAATCCTTACACTCGAACCCATCGTCACCGCACCGCCCTCCAGTCGAGTAGCAGATCTGCTTATGCCAAGTTGCACGCCTTGAAGTGACCCGTGTCAATCGCTCGACTGGAGCAGGCCCCGAGTCGGCCGGCCTTCCGCGTCTTGCGGGTTTGAAGGCCGCCGGATTCCCGTTCGGGGAAGCCGTCGAAGCTGGTGCCGTACAGCGCGACGGCATGAGCGATGGCCTTTGTATTGATCTCCAGAAAGTCGTAGCTCATGTTGCCAATGGTGTCGTACTGAGTATGATAGTTCGGGTCATGAATGATGCCAGCAACGCCTCCGAACAGCGCGACCTCCTCCTCAGTCTTGATCTCATCGGCACCGGTAAACAGACCGCCGGAGGGGATACCCGCATCTAGGAACGGTCCGTAGTCTGACCGGCCGGAGAACTCAGTGGGCAGCAGAGGAAGGTCCTGCGACGCGAAGTAGTCTTCAAACAGGGCCTCGGCCTCAGCAGAGCCAGGTGGGCCTGAAAGCCCAAAGGCGCTTCCGTCACCATCATAAACGGCAAGTATCCCGTTGCCGGACCCGACCATGTCAAAGTTGAGGTAGAGTCTGACCTTGTCAAGTTCTTCTTGCTCGGCTGTGGCGACGTAGTATGTCGACCCAAGCAGGCCCGACTCCTCGGCCGTCCACCAGCCGAAACGGATGGTCGAATTGGTCACATAACGAGCGAGCTGACGAGCAACCTCGAGGATGGCGATGCTGCCGCTTCCGTTGTCGTTGATACCAGGGCCTTCGGCAACGCTGTCCAAGTGAGCGCCCACGAAGAGAATGTTGTCCGGGTCGCCCCTAGTCGTGGTTGCGATGATGTTATCACTAAGGTAGATGAGGTTAGCTTCGAATAACGAAAGTCAACTCTCGTGACGAAGGTCAACTCTCGTGGGTTGGCCTGCATACCTGTACCAGATGTCTCCAGCAGTGGCAGTATAGAAGCTATCGACTATGATTTCCTCGCCAGCTTGAAGCCTAGCTGACAATGCCAGTCCGAGTTCGTTCGAGATGCCTGATGTCGGGACGGTGGGGCCCTCCGGCAGGTCTTCGTAGGAGAGCACGCCGTTGATGGGGGGCGCTCCCGGGACGTAATCAAAGATGACTAGAGCCGCGGCCCCAGCAGCACCGGCGTTGGCTGACTTGAGGGCAAACGAGCAGGAGCCGCCTTGAGGACCTCTCGAGATGAGGCCGATGTTGCCCTCGATCTCGGGAGGAAAGTCTTGCGTCTGCAACGGTCAGTTACAAGAATGGTCAAGGCAGTATGTCTGTTGCTTACTCCATTACATCCATAGGCATTGACCCAGATCAGTTCGAGCCCCTCAAGTGTGGCGTTCTTGGAGAATTGGAACGTCTGAGACTCCACCTCTTCGCCATCGATCGTCACAGCGCCCTCGTTGAAGAACTCAACAACATCGGCATAAGTTTGACGTTCGATCTCGTAGTAGTCGCCTAAAGCTTCGAGGTTCTCAACCACGTAATCGGCGGTCCTGTTGTACCCAATCGATCCAGCCAGGCGGAAGTACTCGGAGTCGTAGGCGATATCAGAGAAAGCCTCGGCATGAGTCTTGAGGTTCTCGAGCTTGATGGCGTTTTGGAGTTTCTCCTGCAGTGCCGTTTTAGCTAGAGCATAAAGCACAGTAGGTGAATCGGGGGGCATGTACCGAATCCACAGGCTTCCAAGGGACACACGGCGTTTGCGCAAACACTGAGCGAGGAAGCATCGCCACAACAACAGCTGATGTCAAACACTTCATCATGATGGCCGTTTCCTGATTATAATTGGGTTCTCGAGCAAACAGCGGTCCAGAAATGGAACAAACGCAAACAGGGCATGGCACTGAGCCGACCTCTGAACGCACATTGGTATTTCAGTCGGCGTCAAGCTGCTTTTCAAGCCGCTTGACAGGACTCAGACAAGCATGACGACGGCGAAACCCCTGCGCAGTAAGTCGAGTGTTACCCTATCACAACCAGAAGAGATGAGAACATGCTGTCGACCGGCCTGCGGCTCTCAACATGCATCAATTCGACCTTCCGCTTTGGTCATGGTAGGTGAGTTGGGGCGAGGGGGCTCGATGGCGTGGTGATGCCATCACTGATGAGCTGCGGGTAGCCTGCAGGAAGCTGTGAGCAGCGATGCAAGACAGCAATGCCAGCCTGCATGTCGGTTGATTGTACATGACGCCGCTGCTAAAGGACCTGCTGTATGGGGTTACGCAGCGTAGGACGAGGCGCCAGGTGGATAGATTGAATGTGATCTGGACTGGTCGATCCTCTCACTTTGTGACGGGTGGCGTGCCTGACCCTGTCAGAGTCGAAATCCAGAAGCTCCTCGTTGGGGTTCTTCGAAGCTGTAGCAAAATTGTCGCCGAATCACGATTCCAGGCTTTCCGTCTCTTGCAGACAGCTACACCCTCAAGAGGCGCCACCACTGGCTCCCCGCATGGGTCGGATAGATAACGGATCGCGAATTGCCATAGTGCAGATGGGTATTTTGCCGGGACAACGCAAGGTCCAGAAACTACGAGCCGGAGTAGCAGCTCCTCTCCACGTCGCAGACAACTCGCAGGTGGACGCGAGGATGTGAACTCATGATTGATGCACCACAACATGCCGGCCAAGGTAGCATCGGCCTTGTCACCCCTCCGATGACGGGACAAGCGGCGCCTGGCAGAAGTGTGAGGGCAATCGGAGCTCTGGCCGTCCCCTCCGGTGGTCATCTGCTTTCCCGCTGTGATGGGAAGACTGCATTGGTGGCGGGTCGCCCATTTCAGTAGACAGGCTTGGCAGGCTGCCGAATTGCTGTGAGAGCCTCGGACTTGTTGGAGATTAGCTCTCTGCTCGATATCGTCCCTGTCTTTAACACAGCACAAACATGCTTGCAGGGATGATCTGACAGGGGGGTCACGGAATCGGGAACCATTCCTCTTGGGTGTCCGTTTTCCGCAGCGTTTTGGGGGTCCAGTTCACATGGAGTCGTTGAGCTTGGCAGCCCAGAATGAGTCGAGAAAGCACCTCAGCGTTGACGCAAGCAGCCGAAGTGAAATCAATTGAGGCAGCATTCTAGTTTCTGGAAGGAAAAGAGTGAAGCGTCAGAGAGCCTCGTTCCATTCATCTGCTTAATAGCGATAGTAGATAACGCAGCTCATGCAATACTCAGATATATGCATTTATGAGCCATAACCACTCCATTCTCCACCAACGAGCTCCCTTGACAATCTCTTGGTTTTGACCATTCGCAGACCACCATCACAGCCTTGTTTGCTGTATTGCCACGAACACCTCAACAGAGCGGCAAAGACACCTGCTCGCCACCTTCCGACGCCTTCTTCATCCTCGATTCCGACGCCTTACGAGTTAGAGCGAGCGCAGCATCCATCCGCCCCGCCATGGCGGACGACTTCCCTGACAGCGGATCGAGGGACCGCTCCTACCCCAACAGAGACGACGACAACAACAACAACTACAACAACTACAGCCGCAGATCGTCTCCTCGTGGACCTCGCGCGCAGTCAAACGACGCTACACACCAACGGTATCAGGACCACAAGGACGGCTACCGGTCTCGGCAGGGTAAAGATCCGAACTGAGCATGCCTTGGCGGAGCCGCGTGATGGGGTGCAACGGGAGAGCAGAGCGTCCGATGAACAATCGGCTGCAAGACATGACCAACTTGGCTTGAGCGTTAGGGCTAACTTCCCCCCGGGCCGACGCGACTATTCTAGGTCTCCCGCGAGGAATGAGCTCTCGTACGACGATGCGCCCCCCGGCGACGGGCGGCAGGCGCGCCACCCGCGGGACTACTACTACCAAGAGTCCTCCGGCTGGGACGACGAAGGAACCCATCGCGGCGACTACCGGGACAGACGGGATCGTGACGGGCGTGACTGGTCGCGGTCGCAGGCCGACGATGGCCAGCTGTACGACGACTACCGGGCTTCGGGCCGCCCTGCGTCGCCGTCTCGCAAGCTCCACCGATCGCCCACCGATACCATCATCTTGGAGGGCCTGGCGCCAGATCTGACGTCAAACGATGTGAGTCGCCGGGCTTTTGTCGACCCGTTATGTCGTCCGCCGTCACTGACTGGACCGACCTGACTATAGGTTCGCGAACTCCTCGACAAGTCGTGTGACATGTCGCGCTATCTCGCCATCGACGTCCGCCTGCCCCCCGGCCGGGCGAGGCGGGCCTTTGTGCAGTTCGGACACATCGACGACGCTGTGGACTTTATGCAGGCATACCACTCGAGCCTGTCCTTTGATTTTGACGAGGATCCGAACGATCGGTGGCCGGTGTACATGCACTATGCTCGCAGCAGCCGCGACGAACTCGACTCGCGGGGCGGTGCGGGCAAGGAAGACTGGATCTGTCTCACCGTGAGCCTTGAAACCCTCGGCGATGTATACATCTACTAACATGTGACAGTGCGAGTTTTCCAACTATGCCAGCCGCATGAGGTGCAAGAGATGCGGCGCGTCACCAGCGGGTAGGTCCTCAACACGCAGAATGGCTAGCAGAATACTAACACGGGAGTAGATGACGGTCCGCACGACAATATCACGGGCGAAAGCGACGCCGGTACCACGCCGTCCCAGATTCTCGTGTTTTTCCCACTCGCTCCCTCCGTCACCGAAGACGTGCTTGCCGTCGGTGCCTCCAAGCTTGAGCTCGCCGAGAAGCGGCCCGCCCCCAAGCCATCGGGGGAGGGCCCTCCAAAGCTCAAGTCGACAGCACCAACCGGGGACGGAGCCGGGTTTGGTGCCAAACCGGGATCGCTGCACCGCGTCTTCTTGATGCGGCATCGGAACACGGACGAGTCACTCAAGTTTGGGTTTGCCGAGTTCTGGACGGTTGAAGACGCGCTCGCTGCGCTCGACAAATTTAAGCGGCTGCGCACGTTCACCATTGCGTCGGCAGCCGTCACCGTGTCGACAATTCACTTGGGTGTGTTCGTGCCTGAGACGAGGGAGATTCTCCCGCCGATCGAGAAGCTGTCGTTCTTCCCACTTTTCAACCCGACGATACGCGTCAAGTACTGGGAGTCGAGCGTGTATCCCAGCCAAAAGCTCGTGACGGAGGCGGCCCCCGAGCAGCCGAAAGCCAAGATGGACGAAGAGTCGGTCGACGGCGTCAAGAAGAGCAAGAAGCGCAAGGCGGAGGGGGCGCTTCCCGGGGCCTCGAAGAAGGCAGCCCCCATGATGGGCCAGATGGCATTCTGGCAGAAGAAGCACGACGAGATTCACGAGGGCAAGAAGCAGGCGGAGCTCAACGCACAGGAGAGAGAGCAAGAGATGATGGCACGGTCGGGGGAGCGGGCGCCTGTGAAGATTTCCCTCGCTGGGGGCGGCCTCCCGCCCTCGGGTGCTGAGAGTCGCGGTGCCATCAAGATGTCGCTGTCGAGCGGTGCCGTTGTGGCGTCTGTTTCTGCGTCTACAGCACCGACGTTGGCTGCTCCACGGAAGGAGACGGACGATGCATCTACACCCAAGGCCGAGGTGGCCCAATCTGTCGCATCCTACGTCGACCACGAAAAGGTGTGCTGCCTGCTCTGCATGATGAAGTACAAATCACTCGACGACCTCAACACGCATGAGCGGTCGAGGAATCACAAGACGGCCATGGCAGACGAGGCCAAGGTCAAGGCGGCGCAGCCGAGGATAGCAGCACGCGACAAGCGAATGGCCAAGGCCCTCGAGGAGGCTGGCGGACAAGGCGGCAGTCTGACCCCGCAGGACGACGACTCGGCACCGCAGTACAGGGACCGGGCGAAGGAACGACGACAAGTGTTCAGCCAGCCGAACAAACCAGGCGCGCCGCCGCCGGGTGCCAAGTCGGTTCCGCGCAGGGATGACAACAGCAAGACGGGGGGCCGCGAGGCGTCTCCCCCAGTGGCGCCGCTGCAGTCCAAGGGGTCGGCGATGCTGGCGAAGATGGGCTGGAGTTCGGGGCAGGGTCTCGGGGCCAAAGGCGAGGGGCGCACCGAGGTCATCGAGACGCACGCGTACCAGGAAGGCGTGGGCCTGGGTGCCGAGGGAGGCAACCTCGGCGATGCGGCAGAGTTGGCGCGGCGCAAGACGACCAACAGCTACGCCGACTACGTTGACACGGTGCAGGACAAGGCACGGCAGCGGTATAGCAAGCTCGAGTGATGGCGGGCGGCGACGGCCTGACAGGGACAATTCTTGCTTGTAGCGTATTTGTAGAGTAGGAGAAGCTGTTTGCCCCCAAGCAAAACCATTGAAGACATGTCTCCATGATCAAGAAACCTGTTCAACCCCACAGAAAGCAAAGAGCGATGGTAGAAGGCCGCAGTCTAGAAGGTCGCAGTCCGCAGCCTTCGGGTGAGGTCGAGAGAGTGATTCCGAGGTGGAGCAGCTCGAATCAGACTTTTTCCTCGTCATGCGCCTCGTGCCGACTCTCCTCTCTCAGCTTGTTATTTCCGCAAGATTTGACTCATTCTCAACTGGCCTTTCATCAAACTCGCGGCTTAGTCTCAGTAGCAACATCATTGACTCCTCAGGTGCGTTCTGAAAGTCAGGCAAAGGCAGATGAGAGTTATCGGACGGATTGACCCCGCCACCCCGCCCAAAACATCATGTTGACCCTCTTCTCACCAGTCTACACAAGTCACTCCATCGTCTGAACCGCTACACCATCACATCGAACAGCCCTCACCGCTGCCATGTCGTCCTCAGCCCCCCTCACGACGCTCTCGCTGCCGTCCCTCGAGAGGATCGCTTCCGGCAAGGTGCGCGACCTCTTCGCGCTGCCCGACGACCCGACCTCGCTGCTCTTCGTCGCGACAGACCGCATCTCGGCCTACGACGTCATCCTCCAGAACGGCATCCCCAACAAGGGCGCCGTGCTGACGCTGCTGTCGCAGTTCTGGTTCGGGCTCCTCGCCGAGCGCGTGCCCGGCCTGCGCACGCACTTCCTGTCGCTCGGCGCCCCGGCGTCGCTGCCGCTGACGCCCGCCGAGCGCGCGCTGACCGCCCACCGCGCCATGCGCGTGCGCCGCCTCAAGGTGTTCCCCGTCGAGGCCATCGTGCGCGGCTACCTCGCCGGGTCGGGCTACGCCGAGTACGCCAGGAGCTCGACGGTGCACGGCATCCCGCTGCCCGCCGGGCTGCGCCGCTGCGAGAAGCTGCCGACGCCCCTCTACACGCCCTCGACCAAGGCCGACCAGGGCCAGCACGACGAGAACATCCACCCCGACGCCGCCGCCGCCCTCGTCGGCGCCGCCTACGCCCCGCGCATCGAGCGCCTCGCCCTCGCCCTCTACACCGCCGCCGCCGAGTACGCCCTCGCGCGCGGCGTCATCATCGCCGACACGAAATTCGAGTTTGGCCTCGACGAGGCCACCGACGACATTGTCCTCGTCGACGAGACCCTGACCCCCGACAGCTCGCGCTTCTGGCCCGCCGACCGCTACGAGGTCGGCCGCGAGCAGGAGAGCTTCGACAAGCAGTTTGTCCGCGACTGGCTCGTGTCGCGCGGCCTCAAGGGCGTCGACGGCGTCGCCGTCCCCGACGACGTCGCCGCCCGCACGGCCGACAAGTACCGCGAGATCTTTGAAAAGCTCACCGGCGAGCCCTTTGAGGCCGCCGTCGCTCGCGTCGGCGCCGCGTAGCGTCCGAAGACAGTCGGACCTGGCACGTCGTTTGCTGAAAAGCGTCTTTCTAGATATGGCTTCCCAATGTATCGTGTCTTCATGTTCCGTGGACCTTATTCGTTGCATGTTCGCTTTGATGACGGCGGGAACGAGCAGACGTCCGTCAGTGCACAACTGTCTCAGTCTCGCCTAGCCTCTTGTCCATCGTCGACGGGCTAGTATAGCAACTCCCCTCGGGTGAACCAGAGCCTATCAACGGGGGTATCAATAAATCATCATCACCTCGACACCACACATCAGGTCAGCTTCTGTATTAATCCTCGCCTCCGCGAGCCATCCTACTCAAACATCAAGCGGCTACCAGCCACGCCTATGCCAGACTCTTATGAAGAAAAAAAAAAAAGAAAACCACGACCAAGAACATCCCCAAGGCCAGCTGCAAAAGCGCAAACCGGCGGAGAGAGAGAGCAAGAGAGAGAGAGAGAGAGAGAGAGAAAGCAGCCCTGATGTCCCCGCCTCCTGACTCCGTTTCGTCCAGTCTAATGGGCCCCCCAAAATTGATCCAGACACCCGATCCATCCGTTCGTCTTCCCTTTCTTTTTTTTCCCTTTGCCGTATGCTGTGTCATGGTGCTGTTCGGGTGGTCTCCCTGGGTAGTCCCGGATGGTGTTTCGATAGAAAATATTCAGCCCTGTGCGACCACGCCTGAAATCATGCGAGCAAAGAACGCTGTAGCAAAACATGGGGACGCCGCATAGCCAGCCCGCCCGCCAGAAATCATAATGCAGTTATGCGGCAGCTTCGTTCGCGAGCCACCACACTTAGACGCGGCTGTAGCTCGCGCTGGTGCGGCTTCGCTCATCCTCCTCAAGCACATCGCTAAGCCTAGTGGGATGATGATGGGAAACTCGAGGGACCTCTTCCCAGCCTGGCGCCCCATATCCCTGGCCCGAGTAATCTTGCTGTGGTGGCGCCGGCGCGTGCGGCACCTGCTGCGGTCTGCCCAATGTGGCCGGCGGCGGCTGCGAGTAGCCAGCGCTGGGCGGCTGCGTCGCCGGTGTCTCGTACTCTTCTGCGCCCTCGTCAGAAACCGGCGACGGCGGGGCACGGTAAGGAACCTTGTTCCCGCGCTGGTCGCGAATGTATTGACCGTGCGCATCAATCTCATACTCACTTTCGCTGTAGCCTCCCTCCGATCCGCCGCCGCCGCCGCCGCCATACGAGTAAGTCGCAGTCGCGGGCTGCGGATCGACAGCTGCCGGCTGCGAATAGAGAGGACCGCTGGTAGCGGCCGGCGCAGACGTCGTTGGGTTGGCCTGCGCAGAGCTTTGTGCGTATTCGTCGCTGTAGGCGCTACCCGAATTGCCGGCGTATTCCGTCTGCTGCGGCGCGGTGCCACCCTGGCGAGCGCTGCCGTGGCGGCTGGGAACGCCTTGGGTCATGGGGACGACCTGCACTCCACCAACGATGGTGGGCTGGCCGCTCTGCAGCGACAGCGTGCGCTCGCGTTCCTCTTGCTCGCGGCGGCCGAGCTCCTCCCAGGCGCGCCGGGCCTCCTCCTTGGAGATCTGGAGCTCCTTGCGCATCTCCTCAAAGCGAGTCTTGTTCATCGAGTTGTTCTGCTCGTTCGCGACCGCCTCACGGATCGCATCCGCGCGAGCTCGACGCTCTTCGTCTAGAGCCGTCTCAAGCATGGCATTGACTTCCTGAGCCCTCTCGAGGTCGGCTCTCGTCTCAAAGAACCAGCGCTGAAACTTGCGTTCCGAGCTGGCACGGAGACGCTGCAGCTCTACCACGGCATGGAACAGGTTGGCACCGGCCGCTGACAGATCGGTGACCTGGCGGGACAGAGCTTGATTGACCGGATCGCGTTCAATGTCCTTGTTGTTCTCCTCGAGGCGGCGGATCCAAAAGTTGGTCAAGCCCTCCCAGTGAGCAGAGAGCGTCTCCCAACGCTCAAAGGCGTGGGGGAACGAATTCCTAGGCCTTGCTCCTCCAGCAGACTCGGATGGCTGCGTGGGAGGCGGCTGAGTTGCGGTGGCGGCGGGAGGCTGCGCGGCGCTGGTGGGCTGTCGCGGGACCGTGTTATACGAAGTTTGCGGCTGTGACTGGCTCTGCGACGAGGTGCGAGCCGGCCGTTGCTGCACTGTGGTGGAGGTATCTCTCTGTCGAGAAGAAGCGGGGTTTGTCCGCGGCGCCGCGGCGTCAGAGCCACCCGTTGGCCGACGTTGCGGTGTCGTGGGAGTGTGTTGTGTTTGGGAGCCAATGTGCTCAGGGGCGGCGCCACTGGCTTGGCCTCCCGCAGCAGCGCCAGCCGCTGCGGCTGCGCGACGCTCCGAGTTGCGTCTCTGGGTATCCTCCAGCAGCTGGGCCTCCTGTTGGGCTCGCTGCCTCTCTGCATGCATCTGCTCCTGTTCAGCCCGTTGGCGCGCCGCTTCTCTCGCCGCCCGCTCTTGCATGATCATCCTCGGCCCGCGAATGCCTCCGGGAGAGCCGGTAGGTGCAGGAGCGGCAGTGGGACGGGTGCGCGAAGACGAGACGGGGTTGCCATTGGAGACGGGCGTGCTGCGGCCGCCGGATCCGACAAGGTCAGCCATTTCGCCGCTCTCCTCGACAACGTCGGGCGTGAAGGGATTGGGGTGGCGCAAAGCTTCCTCGAGAGCAAAGAGGATGGCACTATGCGTGTTCTTGGAGATGCGAAGAGCGGGGTGGAGGTTGTCGGTCTTGTCCTGTCGCCTCGTGGAAGAGGGGGATGCTCGCTGCCACTCGGGAGACGGTTTCTCGGAGGGTGCGGTCTCGTCGAAATCCTCGCTCAGGTCCTGCGATAGGATCCGTCTGGGTTTTGCGGGCTCTTTCTGCTGTTGCGAGTCGCGCGGGCGGATGCGAAGCGGCGAAAGAGGGCGGGGCAGGTCCGACTGCGGCGCATCTGCCGTGACGAAGTGAACCCGGGGTGCAAAGCCGACGGAGGCTGCCTCGAGGTGGACGCGGCGAGCAGCCGGGGGGCTCGGGGTAGCGTCGAAGCGCGGGGTGCGACGGAGTGAGCGAAGGTGGGAGGAGCTCGGAGACGGGGTCCTCGCGGCGAGATCGGGGGTTGCGGCTTGAGCTCGGGCGAGGGCGGCGTGCTGACGCTGCTGCAATAGGTGGGGGGGCGTTGAATCGTAAATGTCGTGACGGTCGTGAGAATGGTCGGGGGGAGTTGGTCCCGACAACTTGGCGAGGTCCTCGGGGAGAGCTCGTGGGATCGACAAGTCGGCGGCGTCTTTGGTGTGGGTGACACCACCAACACCTCGCAGGTGGAGAGGCGAGGAAGGCTCCAAAACAGGCAATGGAGAAAAAGAAGGTCTAGGTGCGTGGCGCCGATGTCAGTGGGTGTTTCAATACGGTGTGGTTGAAGGGCAATTGAACAATAGGAAGCCCACATTCCATCAGGCACGGGCAGAGTTCAAGATGATTGTACTCACAAACTGGTGTGGATAGGTACAGTAGTTGCCTTGCTCGGTTGGGGTTGAATGGGTTGGGTCGGGTAGCAGTGGGAATGCCAGATGCTTGGTGCCGAAAAAGCGCAAGCAAGTGAGCGAGCGAGAGGAATGGAAGGAATGGAGAATAGAGGTAAGGCAGGTTCGGTAGGTACGGTATGATGGTGCGGTGGAGGTCGACTTGGTCTGAAGCAAAAAGCCTGGTCGGTAAAGTCGAGAGAAAATGGGAGGCTGGAAACTGCAAATCCAAGGTCAGAGGTCCCAAGCGCGCGTCGCTGCGCTGGTGCTCGTGCTGCGGGAAAAGAGGGTGGCTAGGCGAATCAGGATGGCGTCGCGGCCGGGGCCAGCAGCGTGGCTGCAGTGGCAGACGAGAAAAGCAATGACCAGGTGTATATGTGTATGTGATATGACCCTGAAGGAATGCGCGGGAACATCGTTGGCACCATGTGCAATGATGTCGATACGGTGTTGAGCTGACGATGATGAGTTCTGGTGTTTTTCGTTTCTCCGTTCTGTCTTGTGGGTGGGTGGGTGGTGACTGCCCACCTGGGTGGTCTGGCGGTACTTCGTTCTTGGTGATTCAGACGCTCCCCAATCTCCAGGGTACGCAGGAAGGTGCTGTGGCTCACTGCTTGCCGTGGCTTGCGCGCGCACAATGAGCAATGAGCAACAAGAAGAAGGAGCGGTGGGAGGTCCTTCCTGTCTGCGCTGGAAAGCTCAATCGGCAGTGACGAATGGGCCGGTTATGGACTGGACTGGAGGCAGGAGCTCCCTACTCGCTGCCTAGTGGTCGTCTCTGTCGACTCAGAGCGTCATTCGGACGGGGGCTGCTGGTGCGATGCTGGCCCGCTGAAGGTGAAAAAAGACCAGAGATGGAAGACCCGAGGCTGTCGCAACCTGCCTGCACGGAACTGCAGCCTCAAGCTGAAGCCTGTCAAGTCCCTTTTCGATGTTCTCAGGGGATGCATCCACCCGACATGGCGACGATGCGTAGAGTCGAACGAGTCGAGCGAGGGGGGGGGGAGGGGACTTGGGGGACACGATCGAGCTTCCGAAAGGGCAGGATCCCGAAACGAGCAAACACACTCGAGGGATTCAATCAACTCTCCTCAGGGAGGAATGTCAACAGCTCAGGGAAGAAAGGCAAAGGTAGGGTTGGCAAGACAAGGGAGGAAGGGGTATATCCTAGGGTTTTAACACACTTCGTCCTCGAGCCCAGCTCCTCCTTATGCCCAGCTCTTCCTCCTCCCTTCAGTTCGTCACATGCCTCTGCTTCTTCATGCGCCGCAGCGAGTGCGCCTGCGTGGACAAGGACGAACCCCCTCCACCTTGCCCACTCGTCGTCCATTTGGGGGATGGACTGGCCCGAGAGAGAAGCAGGCAGGGTCGACTCATTTTAGCTGCTCCGCGGGTCTGCATGATGGCAGCGCGCCATTCTTCCTCAGCAGCATAGACGGAGACTAGCCATGCTGGAGGTTTGCGCCGTCCAGGTACTGCTTGACGATTCTCTACGTTATGGCGTGGTCTTCCCGTATTCGAGGAGCAGTCGAAGAGGGCCCAGAGGGTACATGGTAGATGCCGAGAGAAGCATGGCCTTGGTCTCACAAAGTTGGGACTACCTGTCTAGCGCAGCCCTACTTTGGGGCCCTTTCGGCCAGCATCCCTCGTCATCGTCCTCGACTTGCCTGTCACCTCGACGTCCAGCGCGGGAGATGGGTAGTGTCTGTGCCCATACCATGTACATGTACTCAGGTGGGCTGTGATGTCCGAAAAGAAGGGGGCTGGGAGCTCTGGCAATCATCAGGCTCTCCAGAAGGGGGTGTGAGTTGTCAAGTCTCGCCTCTAGCCCGCTGACGACACAGGGGACTCCCATGCCCAATCAGCGCCTGGTCCGCCCCCTCTCTAGCGGTTCCGATAGGCTGGGTTCGGTGGTCCGGGGTGTCGAGGTGCAGAATACAGGGAAGTGGCCCTTTGCCAGATCACTGAAGCCATCTCCTTGCCATCGTGGGGGCCTCTGCCCGAGGTGAGATGGACCTGGATAGGTTCAATCCATTGGATCTCTCGACTGCACTGCACCTCCTGCGTCTTGCATCTGCATGGCCGAGTTCTTCGCATCTATCTGCTTGTCATGATCTCCCCCCTTTTCCCTTTTCCCTTGTTCCTCTTCCCACTACATGTTTCAATACTGACGACTGATTGAGGCCCAACCAGCATAGGGGCGAAAAGCAACAAACTCCCATGTCTCTGTTCCTGGATCATCGTATCCGCCAATCCACGCCACAGCCGTGTCAGACAGACAACTTACAACTCCCATGCTACCCAAAGAGGCCAAAGGGGGGGCCGAATAGTCAAGGGACGGCTCGGCCCCCGAATGACAAGGAGGTGGGGAGGGTCTCAATTGGCCAATCACTGACGCCAATTGCTCAGCTGGCGGGCAGTGGCAGATTGAGCTGACAGCAATGTCTGCCTTGGGCGACAGATCAATCAAATCGCAAACGATGTCACAAACGGACGTCACTGCAAAGCTCGACGCGACAAAAGCGCGACGCGACGCGACAAGGCAGCTTCGCGACGTGATAAAACTGCCTTGGCGGGACAGATGATGCCTTCACCTGCCAGCGCGCTCTATGCGAAACGGAAACTGACGCTTCTCCTCTACTTTTTTCGATTGAGGGGCCATCTTTGGGAGACTATTGACTCAGCCGACGATCAAATATAGAAACAAAGTGTGCGACATCCCTGATGTGGAATTTGCCGTCTCGGGCCACGATATGACCTGAACGGCCCCTTGTCCACATGCTCGGAAGACATTCCTTCTTAATTGACAAGCCTACATTGGACAACCCTTGACGCAGAAGGAGCTTTAACAATGTCATGGTTCAGTCGGTGCAAGAGAGTCAGTATCCTCCTCCTCAGCAAACATCTCGAACCAGTCACAATCGCTTGTTGCGCAGCCATGCATTATTTGGGTTGACCCACGGAATGACAGAAAGATCTCGCAAGGGTATGGTCGAGTCCCTCTGCCGTGAGCCTCATAGCGATGTCTAGCTCTGAGCTATGAGCTCCCGCGCCGTCCTCTACCCAGCGTGGCGCCTGGAAGAAGCATGCGAAAGCCCTCACTACAAGATTCATCTCATATGTATCTCAGATTGATCGTGATTGAAAGCTCTAGTGGTTGACTCAACTACCCTCATCTCGTGGTCTTAGCCATGGCAACGTTGTGGCCTCTGACGCTGATCACCGTCCATGTCATGTTTGATGCATACCTGATAGAATGACTTAGCATGTGCTGCCTGGATAGAGGATATCCTAGCTTGCCTGACTTCTGATTTGGCGAATAGTGCATGTGACTTGGCCTGGGATGTCCGAGTGGTTCAAGTGTGTCAGCTTAAGATTCTTCGTCGATCTCACCTGCCCAAGATACAATTTGTTTCGCAAAACCAGGGTTGATTAGAGCGCAAGACGTAGACGCCCGCGACTTGAGTTGCAGATTATGCAAAGATTGTATTGCTTCCTAAGACCGCCTCCTCTCCAGATACATCTGTTCGGAGCTGTTAAATGGTCAAACCGCCATGTTCCGTTTCACCAAGCATGTCAAATTCACTGTTGCGATTTGACATGACCGTTGCGTTGGCATCCCTTCTGAATGAGAGGGCTCTAATTTGATTATTGGCATTATAAGCTTGCACGTGAATCCCCTGTTTGTACGTCAGTCTTCTTTGACAACCCTCTCTGGCAGATTGTTTATTTTCTTGCTCGCTGACGCAGGGGTATTTATTGACGAGGATGTCATGTCGTCAGACCTACTCGCCAGCTTAATTTGAGCGTATTAATCACGTCAAGTCAGATGGTACACTTGTGTTGAATTTCTCCTCGCTATCTGAGCCCTCTGGTCATCCTTACTGAGGTAAAGTGATCAAAGGCTACCCTCCGTTGCTCCTGATAAACGTGATTTTCCGCAGTCCTCTAAGCCAACGACTGTATCTGCCGCCGGCAGCTTTGATCACTGTAAATTCGGTGGGAAACTGAGAACATGACTAACTTTGCACGCCGTTCATGCCGTGGCACTGGTCAGTCGTCGTGGCTGGAGTAAGCTAGTATGAATTACATGTGTGGTTCTATTCTATAGCTGCTTGGTATCATAATTATTTACAGGATGGTATGATACTATATTGAGATGGGGCAAGTATTGTAGTTGCAAGAATTCTACAACCTTGAGAATTCCCATTTCACAGCGAGAGAGCGCTTGAAAATCTTCCCCCAGGAGGCGCAATGGCCAATGAGAATGAATTAACTTGCATTCGAAAATGACTGTTACGATGATGATATTAATTCTCTTGAGGATTGGCCGAGATGCATTTTGTGGTCATGTTCACGAGGGCTGATGTAGGCTGTATCAGATCTGAAGAGAGCTGTCGATGTCCAAGTTAGGTGAAGATAGGAAGAGAGCAGAGCCTCAACACACGATGGAAACTATTTCAAGAGTCTGCAAGACGAGAGAGCCAATGTAATCATTCGTTATAGTACCTAATCTACAACGTCCAGTCCTCCGCGTGTAGGAATTAAGAAAGCGATTCATCATGTGATATCCTGCGCGCAACATATCGTCAAAACAAAACATTGCGACACTGCTGACGAAATCACATCGAAAAATAAAATCTTACAAAGTGCCAATCGATCTACGTCACAATAAACAATAACCAGCTGCAGACAAATTTGTTTACTCAAAGCAAGCCGAGTTATATCTCGGCACACAGATTGCCAGGTTGGTTGACCATCTGGGTGCAAACCACAGCAAGTAGCATACCCATGGATGTAGTGTGTGGAACGGCGGATGCGTCTATACGTGTGAGCTACTTCCTGCTTCCGCTTTAGACTTTCAATGTATGAACAGCTGACCAAAGGTTGACCGTTCAATTGATGCACATGCAGTGTACGGCAAAGTCGAGC